TATCTGACAGCCGAACCTTACTATCTGCTAAAGTTAAAAAAAAAAAATTGTCAACCTGCCACGAGTTTTAATAAGAGAACTCAAGCGAATAATCATGACCGTACCCCAATATTTAAACTATTGAGTTCTTGAATGCTCCATACATTCTATAATAATATAAATAGGTCTATTTTTTTTAAAGCGGTATACGAATGTATGTCTCTGACCACACTATTCTGCTATCGATATACGTAACACTGATCTCTGTAATAATATCTTACACGGAGTAGACCATTTGAACTAGTCCTAGCTTCACAGTCACCAGAGAAGTGCAGTGAATACCAAAATCCAACGAAACAACTACTTTTTTTAAAGGGTACAATTGAGTTCAAGGTAAGATATTAAACAAAACAATTCTAGGAACACTCTATTTATATATTTAGATATAAGATAACCCTTAGTGACATTGGATTGCGATTTTTTATCAGGTAAATATGACAAAATTGATCAAAATAGGCATATGTTTTTAATAGCTGATCACGCATGCAGTTATGTTTCTTCCTGACTTGCGAGTATTTACTGGGATCAAACAAGGTAATTATATGGTCAATATTTTTAATGACGCCACTGTAATTAATATCAAGGATACTATAGAAAATTAGATATTTGTCATTATTTAATTTTTTACTATTAATCTTTTAGGAAAGTATTACAGGTATGTATTCTGTCGGTATCGATATATAATGGATTTAAAACGTGGAGTGTAAAATCATATTTTGTCTTATATAAAATAAATATAACAAATGATACATTCATAAGTATGCAATACCAAGTAATATTCAAATACTTTTCGAAAATGCTATTCCTAAGTTCGGCAGTGTTAATTTAAATTCTTTTCTGTGTTAGGAATTGTCAGGCAATGTAATGTAATACTGTTTTGATCGCATACTCTAATTCACAGCACAAAAAGCATATGTGTTAATGAATTCTTTTATTTTCTTTTGCGATTTAAATGCCGATCGTTAAACGAGACGTTCACGCGTAAAGTTGTCTAATTTGTATATGTTGACTGTTACCTCTGGAATAGTGACTACTGTCAGAACACATTATCCCTTTGTTGGCTTACAAAGTGTGAATAATGTCTATATACTTTATTATCTGCTTGCATTCAAAATATAATTACCTTAAAACATTGAACTTCGTGCTGATCTCTTTTTTTTTTTTTTTTTTTTAAATGAAGTGGACTTAGTAAAAGCATTGAACTCAGTGTTGTACAAATCATTTACCACAATAAAAAATATCACTTTACAAATATTGGTATGTAACATCACATACACATGTTATTCAATTGAACTGCATTATCTACATTTATATTTCATTTAATCTACGTCTCTCATATTAAACAATTCTTCTAATTGACTTTTTATGTAATATATATGAATAAAGATGATACGGCTGCTTACAAGTGACATAATCTGTTGTCTTTCAGCATAATGCCACCGATACTTTCAACAAAAATTACACAACATTTTAACAGAATTTGTGAAGGTTATCTGTGTATTCTGGACAAATATCAACAGACAGTTTACAATATACGTATTATGCATCATGTTATTTGGAATAAATTACGTTCATCGTCCATTATTCTACATCACAGAGCCGGAAGCCGAGTCGAACGCCAATTGCGCATGCTTCCACCGCAGGGTAAATGTGATGTCGACTACAAATTTGAAGTATCAGGTATTAAAATTGATGCCTGCCGATCAGAGACTTCTAATATATATTTTAAACCAAGTTGTCAATGTCCAGATGCCAGAAATGCTTACGGTATTTTGCTTGTGGCGCCATCGATGAAAACATTTTTGCTGTCACATGACCATTACAAACCAATATTTGAAGATGCATTTACATCATCTTGTGATATATCAGAAGAGTATCACATCCTGTTACCAAGTATCTTTAAAGAGATCGTTGTGAAAAAGTGTGGATTTGAAATGAAACGTGAAGCACAGAAGAAAACAAGTCCCAGTATTGCAGTTCAGGGAGCTAAAAATGAAACTGACGCCGTGCCATGTCTACAATTGACCGAATGGACAAAGGAAGCATTGCATTGGTTGAGTAGGTTTCCAGCTAACCCTATGTTTGGAAACAAATGGAAACAAACGATCGTAGATTCCGTGTCTCTTTATGTAGTTCCTACCGGCAACCGAAGGTCTCAACAATCGGATATTGAGTGGAGACTTTCATTTGTCTTCGTAGAAAAAGCATGTTTTGATCGTATCGCCGAGTACAAACCACGAATTCGACAATTATTTGGACTTGCGAAGTTTATTTTCAAATGCTTTTTGGAAGAGCTGGATACATTTTCATCCTACCATCTGAAAACACTGCTGTTTTGGAAATGTGAAACAAAAACACCCGAAGAATGGGATACAATCCAACCACTTGCTTTTGTTCTTGAGTTGCTTGGATCCTTGGAGACATGTCTTAACGAAGGAACGATCAAACACTTTTTCGTTCCAGATTGTAACATTTTCCCCTTCGACAAGATGGACGATACCATGATAAGTGCTCTCCGGGAAAGATTCCTCACTATCAAGGAAGAAATGGTAGGAAAGATCAAGACGACCATATCCTTCGATTGTGTTGTAGATGAATCTCTGGAAATGAAGGAATGGATTGAAGAGGTCGAAAGGGTTTTGGAAATCAAATCAGAAGAAGGCGTTGCAGAGGGGTACATCAGCGGCTATCTGACTCGACTTCATAGTATGACGTCTCACTCTCTTCTCGAAAACCATAGAGAAGGGACACTGCAACAGTGTGTTACTGCGCTGCAAAACACCTTGCTAGACGATGGAGACGACAGTTATCTTTGCGATGAGTTTGTCAAAAAAATCATACCAATGCTTGCGCCACAGATCCATTCACTTTCGCAGGATATATATCTCAAATCGAGGTTTTGTCTATTTCGAAATTGTTCGGAAAGTATGCATTCGAATAAAGAACTAACTATAAACAATGAAAATGAACAAATAGTGAACATAATGGTATTCGATGCATTCGAAAGCTACCTCAGAAAAGACTTTACCAATGTTAAAACAATACTTAGAAACGTGTCGCTAATGGAAACCCGTGACCGTTGTATTGGGTTGACTTTGTCTAAATTGCATGTCACATGTTACCTGGACCATGTACTGCAATTTGTGTTGTCGCACTTACAAGCAACGGCAACGAAAACAAATAGGGTATTCATCGAACCCAACATCATGTTAACACATTTAAATATCCAACTAGAAATACAGAACGATCAAGATGACGCGAAAGACAGTATACGGCCTCTCATTAAAGGTTTACTGACACAGCTTCACTCACTGGTCAGCAGTTCGTCTGTAAGAGAACCATACATAGGGAGCTTGTCCTACAAACACATCGGTACATTGATGTTAATGGGGTATGAAGACTTTTTTGCTAAACGATCGCCTTCAAAGACTATACATCTCTTTCCTGATGCTCCTTCCGACTCGTTCATTGCTATAAGCAGCAAAGTAAGAAATTTTGATCTCCGTTAGTTCGTGTTTTCATGAAACACTTTAGAGAACTTATTAGAAGTGCTTATAAACTGGCCTCAAGTTTTTGACGCTGTTCGCTGAGTGCAGAGACGTGCCAATGAAAAGCGTCTTAAAGATGCTATAACAGTTTAATCGTTTTATTACATATATGCTGAACATCGTGTTTTGCCTAACTTAAACAAGTGCAATGTATAACATGCTTGTTGACTATGCTGTTAACACCATGGTGTACACCAGTTGACACGCGGTGTCTGTTGTTTAGATCATGTTATACAGAGTGACAAGTAGACTTAAAGTATGTACCATTTAGACCACTTGTATAAGCCCAGTAGACTTTTGATGTATGCTATATAGACATATGTATATTATCTATACCGCCGGCATATAATGAGAAGACTCCCGATTTATGCTATTTAGGCCGCTGGTGTTTCACAAGATCCCATGGCGAGGGTCACCTTCCCGACCACCCGGATTTTCTCCCTGGTACTCCGGTTTCTCCCATTGTGAAACCCCTTGCGCACTTCCAAGCGGGCCAAAAGATTGATTAATATAAGCTTGTTTCTAGATTGTTCTAGAATAGTTACACTTTGATATTAATCTATTTTCATTTCTAACAATTGGTTTTAAGTATTAAGTGTGGTTGATAAGCAATAAGCATTTTCCGTTCTTTCTTATTAATGTGTACCCTTCAGCTATGTTTTTTCTGTATGTGAGTGAGGGTGAGGGTGTGGTGGTGGTGGTGTATGTGTGTTTGGGTGTGTGAAGGAGGTGCCTTAGCTCATTCGGTTTGAACGTTTGCGAAGGTAACTTAGCAAGGGTCAGGTTTACGCTGACGTGTTTGCGTCCGCTGGCAAGGCAATTTACCCTAATTGCTCTGGATGGCTGGATGGACCGCTCGTGTGTTTCAATGAGATCGCCCCAGTTACTACAAGGAGCCCCCCTCCCCCTTTCAAAATAATGTTGTCATCACGACAACCCGTTAAGGACACAATTTTTATTTGCCGTGAACAATGTATAGGCTAGGACTATCCCATGGTTATTATGCGATATGGTCACAGATTGATTTGCCGTGAACAATGTATAGGCTAGGACTATCCCATGGTTATTATGTGATATGGTCACAGATTTATTAGCCGTGAACAATGTATAGGCTAGGACTATCCCATGGTTATTATGCGATATAGTCACAGATTTATTAGCCGTGAACAATGTATAGGCTAGGACTATCCCATGGTTATTATGTGATATGGTCACATATTTATTTGACGAGAACAATGTATAGGCTAGGACTATCCCATGGTTATTATGTGATATGGTCACAGATTTATTAGCCGTGAACAATGTATAGGCTAGGACTATCCCATGGTTATTATGTGATATGGTCACAGATTTATTAGCCGTGAACAATGTATAGGCTAGGATTATCCCATGGTTATTCCGTGATTTGTATTTTATATTCCGCTTGAACTTTAAACATTTTCCTCATGACTAAATATAACCACTAACTTTGTAATCGGAATGTGATAATAGTATATATTTTTCTGATAGATACCATATCTTATATAGTGTAATCTGACCTAGATTTGATTGTCGGTTATCAACAGGAATGTAAACTTACATAACTAATGCGTGTAAAAACATAGTTATTAAACTCGTGTGTATAATCACATCTGGAATGCAACCATTTACTTGTTATAGATATAAAGTGTCATATTCCTGCCCAGAAATAAAACTAGAGATAACAAAGACACAAATATAGCTTGTTGACATGTTTTGTTAACAAAACAATGAAAAAATGTTCTTACATTACATTTTAAGTACACATCGCATTGTTGGTAGAAGCACATCATATATATATATAAATAATTACTTGCTTGCTGTTAATGAACATTTGGTACACCTCTGATTTTTAACACGATTATAGTAAATATGATAACTATAAGGAGATATCCTACTAAAACGCCAACGTTCCGACCAAGATTATTTACAGCGTTAGGGAAAAACATGGTCAGGTAATCATCCCCTGTTTGGAACTGACATTTATCTGTAAAGAGAAAAACAAACAAAAGTAACAGTATTTTGGTTCACGAGTTTTTGATACGAGATATATATAAAAAAAAATAGATATCACCATGGTATGTCTAGCTTCATTTGAAATAGAGTATTGACATAAAAAGCTAAATAAAATCAAATAGACTGAAGTTGTACAATAGCAAAGCAATTAACACGAATATATTTCATTATACTTTGTATGCTGAATATGAAACGTTTTCATAACAGGAAAAAAACTTCTCAAAAATATTTGTGATACTAACACGAAGCTAAAAAATGTAAAATTAATATCACTTGAATTATATATGAACTGTATTTTGGTAAGCACAAAATAAATTTGAATTATATAAATATTACCTGTGTCTTCACAAATAAGTTGGAGACCTTGGAATTCATTGACCACCAGGATTTCTGTAGCATATTTATGTATCGTTAACCAGCCCAGCCAGCGAAGAGGGTCAATCATTGTGTCAATACTCCTGCGAAAATCAAATCAGAGTTATCCTCCTTCTCATATCACTAAGATTTCATTATGTTTGTGTACCACACACAAAGAAATGAAAATTTATTTATGAATGAAATGCAAATTCAATTCATGACGTGACACAAATGAATATTTATTTATAACACAGCTATAGGTACACAGAGCCAGCTAGTTTATTTTTGTTTCTTAACAAGTGTAATAAGTTTCGTTGTGATGACGTACCTTAGAAGTCCAGATCCAAACAGGAGTGATGCCGTGAGAATGAGCGTGACAATATTAACTGCCATTTGACCGTTCATAAATACCGTCATAGCACCCACTGTCAGGATCTCACCGACCACGTGTAGGAAAAACACAAGACACAAAAAGATAATGAATTTGTCCGGGGTCGGTGTCAGACCTGTCACCCTGTAATGATTGAAAGAAGTGTGAAAATTTAATTCCAAATTATAACTATCTCGACATTGTATAATCAAGCGAAGTTTTGTCAATGGGTTGCATACGTTATTATTTAACTTTGGAACTCCCCAACAAACAAACATTATCATAACGATAAAATTCAGGATATTGTTATATCTACACTTGTGGCACAGCATTATTCATGATTACGTTCCATTTACTAGATTTTTATCAAGCATGGAAATAAAATAATAATAAAAATAAAATAACGTAAAAATATCTCTTAACTGTAACTTCTGATTTGCATTTTGTTTGTACAGACGAGAAAATAAATCAAGAGCGAAATCACGTTTAACTCACCAATATATAATTGAGCTAAAGAAAATTGAGGCCACAAAGTGAAATGGTATTGCGTGCATCATGTAAGCAGTGATGAAGGTGAGGGGCGAGTAGAGGCCATCCTTGTATTCCCGGAAGTATACATCTCTCAGGGAGGGAACTGTAGATAACGAGGAGCAGTGAAAGTGTATATTAATTTACACGTGTATCAGAATAATGTTAATTTCACTCTATCAAAACATATTCGTAACATTTCTACAATTTTGAAAAGACCGATTTTGTTACATTTAAGTAAAAAAATAACTTATTTTTCCGTTAATAACTTTTTAATGTTGGTCACAAAGATGTTCTCGGACACCTCTATTTGTCACCTTACAATTATAAAACAACAACTTAAAGATGCGATAAAGTAATTGCGACACAAAAACAAATATGTTGCGTATGAACCAATCAGAAAGAAGAGAAGCGAAATTAGAGACAGCCGTCACTATGTCTGTCATCAACTGCTGGAAAGTAACAGTAGCACACAGAAAGTCACTTCTTATAGATAACAAATAATATCATTCAGGAATAAAAATCTGTGTAATTAGAGGAGAGTTTTATGATATGACCACGACAAGATTGATGTAATTGTTGGGAGTAAAAATGAATGTAATAAACCCTTCTTACAGGCATTAGTACCCAGTAAACATCAAATGTCAACAGGTACCGACATTAGTACCCAGTAAACATCAAATCTCAACAGATACTGACATTAGTACGCAGTAACACCTAATGTAAACGCCCACCAAATTAGTACCCAGCAAACAGTTAATATCAACATACGTACACAGAAAGGCAGTGTTGAAGGCAGACACGTAGGGAGGAACCATGAGGGTTTGGTACATCAGTCCAACTCTGTCCTGAATGCTCGACTGGTCAACCCTGAGTTTGCCAAGGAAGGTGCAGATAAACGGAATGAACAAACTCAGCACAAACAATCGTGTGCAGTATGATGAACGATCTCGGAAAACGTTCACAGTCATCCGTCTTTAGAATTAGAAAAAGGCAACAAGAAAAATATCAACATGTGAACATAGTCATCATCCAAACTCAAATGCGATAAAATAGGGCAAAATGTGAACAAATGAAAGATGAAAGAATAAGACCAGGTGTTCCGGGGGATAAGCGTCTTCTGCTTCTTTGACTATACCCGCCGTGTCAATTCTTGTATTGATGTCACGTTCTCAAATTAGAACAAGGTGAATAACAACCAACAAGTAGACTAACAAGCTTCAAACACGTCCAGCTTCATAACGACGGAAGAAGTAAAATATTTTTAAATTATATCTTTTTGACGACCATAAAACTTCCTCATAATTGTCATCAACCTTGTTTGAAATCCTGTGTTATGAGTTTGTTTGTCAATTGAAAATCGAGAAATGATGCGATGATATAAAGAATTGTGGATGAAACATCGTAACTATGCGTTAAGTGTGAAATCATCTTTATAAGAAACCAGAGAGGTTTAGTAGAGGATGTTTTAGAGCTCTGAATTACAGGGAACTTTTATGTCGGCACACAAATGTATGTAAGCTGTTTCATTGAAGTATGTGTAGTGTAAATGGAAAATATTTTTTAAAAACTTAGGAAGAATACAACTTAAGAATAAAAGAAATAGTGTTTTTCATTGCTATTTAATTGAATATTATGCAGGTGAATCAACGCTCTTCTTGCTATTAGGAAAGAATTATTCATAAACCTTTCACTTACTTTAGGAGTGTTGTCAGTATCCGAAAAGGAGTCGGACTGCGGACGGACGATTGCTGCCAGTCATCATCATTTGTGTTGTCCGCGTACACTTTTTTGTTTAAAGTGGCGTGTTCGGGAGATGACAAAAATTGATTCATTAATTCTTTTAAAACGTCCTCACTCTTTTGCTCTCGTTTCATGTCTCGTCTATCAACACTCACCAGATCAACTGTAAAATACAAACTACAGGTCACCATGATGATATTAAATGGAGCTCGGCAAAACACATAGGTATATATACCAGATGAAAATAATGAAACGGCGGTAAAAGAAATACATAAGCTTTAAAGATGTGGATATCTCAATCCTATCAAGATTCAAGGTTATCAATTATTAAATGGAAGTGTATGTATGCTTCATTGATAAACACCTGCAGTACCAATTCAATGAAAACACTAGGCATATCAAACCATTCGATATTCCTTTGTTATTTTCAGAAAGGCGGTAATGTGCAGCCTGTTCCCTGATCTTAACCAGTCTAACTGCTTTCATCTATTTCGTTCATTAATAGATAGAAGTAATTAAAAAAAATGAGAAAACAATACAAAAAAGAAAATAATAATAATAAAATAAATAAACAAAAAAAAAAAAAAAAAAAAAAGAAAACGCGGTGCCAGTACCAATAAAGGTCAATATCAACACTTTTTATAAGAAATAATTTAGGTAAGTTAAAGCTGTTTTAAACAACTGATCATGAAAATCTCACCGTAGAAGTCGAGGGGATTACTAAATTTAGGACAAGGGAAGCCTGCATTGGTGTAGAAATCCAACATTTCGCTTGGAGTTCCAGCAAAAGCCAAAACGCCGTTGCTCAGTAGGCAAATCTTGTGAAAGAGCTGAAAGAGACCTGACCCCGGCTGATGAATAGTCACCAATACTGAGGTTCCAGACTCGGCTATTGTTCGTAGCCTACTCATTAGGGACTTGGCTGTACAGCTGTCTAGTCCAGTAGTAGGCTCATCCAGCAAGAGAACTTCTGTAATAGTATGTTATGATGAAAGTATGTTATCATGTCAAAAGGAACACGATGAAGTATTTCAGGCATTGTTACAAGAAAAATGTAAAACATAAAGAGAGTCTATCGGTTAATTATAGATTTATATCTTACAATTTATACTAAAATGTCATTTGAAATGATGAACACTTTTCTCAAAATATGTTTTCGGTATAAATATTCTTTTCCTACTCATATTAGATTATTTTTGAAGGCGATCACATACTAGCATCCTGAAGTAGTTGTACACCGATGGTCACTCGACGCTTTTCGCCTCCTGATATTCCTCTGACAATGGTACCCCCAATCTTGGTATCAGCGACAGTGGACAATCCCATCTGATGTATTATTTTGTCAACCTGTACAGAGGAAAACGGGATGATACTACACCATATATTGTTACAAGCTATATAACAATCTATATAATGACACTTACCTAGGTAGTCAGAATTGTCAACATTATATAACCATGAGAAGCAGGAAATCATTATGTTTTTACAAAATGTGAAAACGTTATTCATTAACAAACTTCAAAACACTATTACAGTACAAACTGTCTCGAGATAAATAGTCACCTTTTCTTCCACTTGTTGATGTGTCGAGTCTCCTGGCATCCGAAGGTACGCGGCGTAGGTCAGAGTCTCTCTCACTGTTAGGTTAGGAAGTAGACGATCATATTGTATCACGTAGGCAATGTTTCCCCTTGTGTTGCTTTCTGTACATTTTTGGCCATTCAGGACCACTGACCCTGTCACCTTGCCATCAACACGCAAAGAAAGAATATCCAGCAAGGATGACTTCCCGGCACCTAAAACAATGACAATAGTCTTTTTATTACAATATATGGCAACAGACTGATGTAAATTAATAACTATCAATTTTGAGGTCTAAGGTTAATGTATTATAAAGTGCGATTCAAGAAAAATAACGGATCAGGATGATAACCAAGATATATACATCTCTAATAGAGGTATCGCCTTTGTTACGATGCTTTGTCCTGTCCTAGGTAGTGGAATAATGTACATGTACTATATATTAATTGATGTTGATTTCTGAACAATGTCAATCTAAACTTAGAATGCCTTTTATATTCATTTTCCTTTCCTTCTTTTAACGGTTTGATATATATTCACTTTTTTCAATTAATTAAAATGCATGACAAAATATCATATGATAAATGGTTATGTATATACAAAAAAAAAACCCTGCTAAATGCGCCGTAATTCCCAGAGCTATGAAGAAACGTGCGAACAGTTGCCGTTTGAAGAAATTGGCAAATCAATAGAAAAGTTTTTTTCCGTGACTTAAGTAAATACATTTAAAGTCTAGCATTATAATATTTAGAACATATCGGCGAGTGACAAGTTCCTGGTCAGGTATTTTATTTCTATACATTAAATGTATATTAAGTATATTATGGGTTTCTATTGTAAACAGCGCTCCTTAATTATCATAAGAAGGAGTCAACACACGTTTACACCTTTCTGTGTCAAGACAAGTTTTCACAACGAGACTACAAGACCCAAACTACACACATCTGCACATTTTACCTAGTAAACAAATACTAGTTTTCATGTTATAATTAAATAACGTTACGGCAATAAGATAGAGTCTTTATATACAATTAATAATATGTCTCCTTAACTTCATTTTCATTAGGCTTATGCATATCACTCTATTTATTCTCTTTTACTCGATATCCCGCATTTATTAAGATTGAGTGTCATATATATATATGAAAAGAGTACATTTTTGTAAGAACTACTATTTTCTTCGCAATCGTCAAACATTTTCCATTTCCCCCCAAAAAAGAATTGATATCGCTTTCATTGATGCTATATTCAGAAAACATTTCGTTTCAAAATGTTACCAGAACTTCCTAGAATGGCTGTGAGTTCCTCTCCAAAGTGGAGGTTGATATTTCGAAGGACTTTTTTCGGTTGTTTTGACCGACAGCACAACCCTTTCCACCATGGTCCGATGCGCCTTTGCACACAATATGTCACATCCCTCAACGCCAAGGACGACGGATTGGATGCAACAATCTGCTGGAGAGCGTATCTATTCTTTTTCTCATTGAACATCTCCTCTATCTTGTCCGACATCCACAAGTCCTGAACCTGAAATACACACACATATATATGTACATAAATATCTATATAATTAAAAAAATGTTATCATCACGGTAGTTCGCTAACATTTCAGACCTAGCGGCCATCTTCAGGTGATTGTATTAATGACTTGGTAACGATGTTATGATGTAATCAATAGTAACAGTAGCAATAACAGTTGTATATATGCAGATATTTCAAAATTGCCCTGTGTTGTTTAGATCAGGCTTGAATCTACCATTCAGTTATCTGATATCGGGTTTTCTGCCCTGCCTATGTTTTTTCTCTTCACCAGAGAGAAGTTACTTTGAAAACAATCACACGTTAAGGAATTCAATTCGACTGTATAAACACTGCATTTACATTAAACAATATATCATGTATGTTAATTCAAACTATTGACTCTTCAAATACTTCTTGTCAGAAAGCTATTGTTATGTTCCGGATATCAATGGTAATCGGGCATTCTTAAACAGTCTTGCTATTCATGGTTGACGACCGTGAACATTTGTGTTTTATGAACAGTTGCCGATAATCGATATAACAAAGGGACCACCTCTAACGAGGTATTGTATAATATCTGTGTCACATTTAAATGTATAATGCGTGCTTGTTGCAACCCTTGGTCTTACTGTTGTTATTTACTGTAAACTATAGCTACAAGTATCTACATCGTTATAACATTACTGTTGCTATAATAAACAATTCGTTATTTGGATTTAATGTTTCTGTGTGTCTCATGTGTAATATTCAGATAATCGTTATTGTAATAATTTATGTACTAAATGAAATAATTATTCTAATAGCTATACCTAATTTGCAACATGAAATTCCTTAGAAAGGAATTATCCATAGACAACCATAAGTGTTTCGACGGAAGCATCTCGATTTCATCATATCCTTATTAAGTCGCTGAATCAATCAATATATTGTTAGGTAACAATAACAAAACAATCTCCCCTACCTTACAGAAAATGCGTGAATTACCCTTAAATACAAACTCTTAAAACGAATACATCATCACATTATATATATATATATACTAATGCAGCTAATGACTTAAACTATATCTTAACATTTAATAAATTTATGACGTGTTTATTCCAGTCTGTGAGAAGTTACCTACCAGTTATATATCAGTCGGCATGCCCTATATACCCCGATCCACCATTACAAGATTAACGTACTACAGCTCCAGTGTACACACCTAAATGAATTCTACGTGTATTTAAAAAACAGCCCTGTTGTATACAGATGTACGATATACACTAATATGTTTACGAGCAAATGACAGCCATTGAAGGGTACCATGTGTAATTAATTGCGACACTATTATTCATAATTGAACTCCTACTATACATAGAGCAGTATTGTAGTAGTATAAGATTTCCTTGTGTCCAACAAAAACAATGAGCTTTTAAATGAGATATTAGATTAGGTACCTGTTCCTTAACCGGCCTTCATCGTATTGTGATACACAAATGTGACCCTATTTTTTTTCTACTATTTTTTATTTGTATATAATTAGTTGAATACATACCTTTTAACATGTCGTAATCATCTTTTATTATGTAGCAAATCATTCAATAACACATATGTTCATGGCATGAATATCCTTCATTGACGACATGTAACTAGAGGAATGTCAGCCCTTTTGTCACATTCATGGATTAGCGTAAGATTGGTTGTGTCGTCCACAGACGTTAAAGTGTCATTTACAGTTGTGTTGAGTAAACGCCAAAAGAATCTCAAACTAGTTTAAATCATAACTGAATTTCACCGTACTGTTCAGAATAATTCTTCTTCGAAAATCATGCAACTCTGTGACCCTCTTTCAGGAGATTTTATCCTTCATTATCATAGGTTAAAACCTCATAGTTGAATAATTTGTCAAGAAATGCAAGTCCGTGAAAACAAGCTGTAATCTGCATCAATCATCTGTAGGACAATCATCTAAAACAATTCCTTGGTAACAAATATATAATTGTCTTGGATTATGATAATCAAATTAGCGGTATAAACAAAAATATTGAAATGTCATTGACTTTCAATTAGGTGACAAATGGAAAAAAATACGTGATTTATTAAATGATTGGGCTGCTGCACCTTCCTGTCTACATTTCGACCTTTCTTTTGATAACTAAGTTTCCCTTAGTCACTTCAAATGCATCATATTTTTGCACTTAGCATCAATGACGAGTATAAGCAGGACGACACAGCTGTATGATACAGCTGAATTTATTTGTTAGCTCTACTGTATCTTACCATAAATTATAAAAAAAGTGTTGTTTACTTGTGTATCTTTTGTATAATCTTACAAATGGGCTAGATGATGTCTGATTTGAAAAAAAATGATTCCGGAAGATAGGAGTACATTACACTATTCTCGTTTTGTATATCTATATTTTGCACATGATACAGGTTCATCGGCCCCTGTTTTGTGACTTGCAACAGCAGAATAAATCATTCGAGGAAAGAAGCTGTTCGTTTACATCGTTAATTAAACAGTTTCGATTATATAACATACCTACGCCAACAACACGATTATGCCATTGACTCATGATACATCGTGAGAGGAAGACTGCTACACAAAAAAGTCAGGAGAACGGTAATTTAATTGTCATCAAATAGATAATGGTTCATACATTGTAAGAATATGTCTCTTACTACAACAAACAAAATCACCAAAAAGTCACTTGTATTCGATGTCCATAAGTGATAAAGTTGGCACTATATATGATCAGAAGTATGTATAAATTTAATGTTGTAGTTGATTGATATTGTCTTAGATTTCAATTTCTACTCAAGTTGGACTCAATGAAATTACCAAATTGAGGCTGTTATTTGTCTATGTAATGGACCAGATTAACATTGAACCAGGCCTATGACTACGTCATTGACAGATGTTGTAAGGGGAGAGAACCATCACACATGTTCAATACTAAACTTTAAATAAATGTAATCAACTTTGCTCCAGATTTACAGAATATAAATTTATAAAGACAAATGATATATGATAACTATTAGATAAGTCAAAATGTGACATGGTATATGTTAGCAGAACAGATTTGATTTTAACTATCTACATGAGACCTTGCAAATATTGTCGTCTGCTACATAATAGCAAGCAATTATTTTTTTAACCTTCCCCTGCCTGAAAAATCTCGAACAAGACCAAGAGCGTCCACTATGCGATCCTGATAAAGCAATGTTGCTTTCCTTAGTTCTTGATGCTATTGAATATATAAGACGGGCCATTAAACACGCCATTACAATTCAAAATGACTGTAGCCGAGTTCGAAGCGAAACGGTAGACAGACAGAGAACTCAGTGCTTCTTCAGAGTAGCTTTCGGAACATGTTCATAAATATAGTGTTTGATCATCCTTTCGTCTAAAATGTTGCGATACATTTTTTGAATCAATCAATTAGATTTGCGCCAGTGCTAGAAATTGTAGACTTGGATTTGATAAAAAATATTGAAAACAAACCGTCTTAACTAAACATTAAGAACTGAATCTTGTTCTTGTCAATTTCAAGGGGTGATGAATCGAATTGCTCTGAAGACGTCCCTTCACAGTTTGTTAAATTTGTCTCAAGAGCATCTCAATTCATCACTTCATGAAATCCACAAAAGCAATGTTCAATGCTTAATTTGTCAAACAAAAAACAAAAACAAAAAAAAACTATGATATGTTTCGATTAAGCTTTTTTCTGACTGAAAACTGTTAAGAATATCACAGGAGGTCAAGTTTTAATTAATTTTAATAGCAATACGGTACAAAATATACACGATCATATCGGTGCTTTTGAAATCTCAATCTCTCTACCTACACGTTAGAAATTTCTTGTATCTAATTCTGATTTTCCTCACTTGCCTCCTTCGCTTGGTGATTTAGGCCCTTATCATCACTAACAAGTGCTTTATGGGGAAAACAACGCAAGCATGATGATGTTCACTTCGTTCTGTCAGTCCACGAATTCTGCTTACATATTGATAGGTGGTTTTCTGGTGGCTGACGTTTGCATAATTCTATGAAGAAACAGATATACCGATACACCATAAGTCATTTCTGGATGAGAGATTCGCCACTATTACGTAATGTAAATACCTCTTTGTACTCCGCGACCTCAAATTACAAATCAACTTATTTTCACAAACAATATTTTTTTTCCTAGTTTGAAGGTAAGATATAATGATCTTTTATCTGTTTAAGATATCCGCTGCAAATTATGAAACGATATATATATTAAATTGGTTGCCTCTTACTTACATTTCAAATTTTACAATATTTCATGTAACAAGTTTGACTAATCAAAAATAATAAGCAAAAGGGATGTTTTACCAATGCACGAAATGTATGGTAAGCGTAATGATTTCGTTTTTTATCTTCTTATCTACCAATTCTAGATGATAACCGCTGCCTCGCAACACTTATAGACATGTCATTGTTTATTCGATATCCATGTTGGTGCTTCCAATAACACTTTGTGTCCGTACAGTATGTTGACAGATAACGCACAACACAATATTTCGAGAGATGCAGTTTGATGACGACATTCGGTAATCTTAAACTCACCATCATGATCTCATGGAATAATGTTCCATTTCATTTCCATGTGCCATTTTTAACTAGATATATTCGATGCTCCCCATTATTTCCTCATGGTTTCGTTGTAGTAAGCCTGTTCTGATATTGAGTGACAAAGATTTGCAAAGCACTTGTCCTCGATGAAGCAGAAGATGCTTACCTTTCAAGAGCACCTGATTCTCCCTGCATTTCTCCTAAGGTTTCGTGAGTAAATATGTTGTTTATATTTTGAGAGCAACATTAATATGTTCACCCAATATTATGTATATCTTTATTGTAACTTATTGACGTTCACGGACCTGTTTCGGCGTATGTGTCGTAAGGTTTGTGCTGAACGTGTTGTGATTATTTTTACATCGTCATGAGACCACGTGAACGTGATAAATCATTTATCAAATTTTAGCACACACTTAGATGATCTGAATGTAAGCGTCCGACACATACAAACATAATCCATTGAAGAGTACAATGATTTGGAGTCTGATAAAGTTATTTGAGTTAGCTTATTTTAAACAAAATAGTAGTGCAAAAGAATCTGTGCTAAGACATCAAACAAGTCACTGCATTTTGTATATCCTAATTTTTAATAAAACTATGTGTCACCAATGAATATAACTGTAACTGTACTTTATGAAAAATAAATCTCGACATATGTTGACAATTGTAGATTAAACAAAATGTATTTTCGAGTCCTACCCCTGTAGATTTCCGAGCCCTGACATAACTTAATTTTTAAAAGTTTCCAGCCGATCTGTACCTTTTAAGAACTTATTCTAATAACTCTTGTTAGCATTAAAACATTTCTTCTTTGGTCAGTTTTGTCAGTCGAAATTGGTAGGAAGAGTCCCAGCCAATAGTAAGACCGTCTAAATATAGCGCATCAGAAAATCCGGAACTGAACGATCCCTGGTTCATACCATGTAGAGTTTATGCAGAGTATTTTAGTAAATACATAAGTGTGTGTGCAGTTTACTAACATTTCTGTTGAAGTTGTGATCTTTACTTCATCAGGCTCTTTCTGTTGATTTCATAATTTACACAAATATTTCATTCCGTGCGACTAATAACAACATAACACTAATATGATGCAATCTAGGCCGCACGAACGCTTGTAAATCGATCTTAATATAGATAGTTTTTCGCAAATTAAGTATCATACATATTTTTTTAAATAGTAAAATCAGGTGTACGATTTCCATACGACCATAAGTAGATAATTCTATACAATTTTCGTAAAAAGCAACTTATAAATTCATAGCTTTTGTGGAATATCCCTTCAATTCAAACGACAAAACAAGCGACCATTCACGTGATCCATCATGACTTATTTCGACTACAGGACTTTTTTCATGGGGCTTAATATACCGAGTACGAACTTCCTGAACTTACTCCGTCTAATGAACGTTTTACTAGGGCATTACAATACCGCGGAAATATAACACGGACTTCCTTGACTCACTCCGTCTCACTGACGTTTTACTAGGGCCTTACTACATCGCGGAATTATAAAACGGACTTCCTTGACTCACTCCGTCTCACTGACGTTTTACTAGGGCCTTACTACATCGCGGAAATATAACACGGACTTCCTTGACTCACTCCGTCTCACTGACGTTTTACTTGGGCATTACTATACCGCGGAAATATAACACGGACTTCCTGGACCCACTCCATATAACGCATGTTTTACTAAGATCTTACTTTTTCTTAAGTTATAACAAAAGGCTTACTCTATCGCGGACAGATAAAAAATGGTTTTCTGTATTCCTCCCTCTAATCACCCTTTCACAAAGTTCGGATTTCCTGAACCGATTATTCACTTGCTAAGTGATAACAGAGTATTGTAAAATCAGTATTCGTTGATTGACAGCTTGACATAAGTCATACTGGTACACAATTTGATTTAATGTCTATAAACAGTAATAGCAGTCTGTTTTCATTGACACGACTGCAGGTAACCATTTATTTCCATTTCCGTATGATGATGTATGTCATTTGTCTGATCCCATTACTTTCCATACTTCTATATATAGATGCCACGATAAATGTCACTCTGAGTTAGAGAGTAATAACAGTACATAATGTATTAGGAATTAAAATGACGTCACAAATAAAAAAATCTCTTACATATATACTACATTACAGTTCTGCGTTTAAAGTATCAAAACGATTTTTAAAAAAAGATATGAGTGTGTCTTACCATCATCGTTCTCATCTTCACGAGTACGTTGCAATCCTGTAAAAATGGTATGTTACTTGTACGTACAAGACGCTCGTTTTACGTCGACGGTATTGAAAGCCCTTGTACTGAATGATACCAAGTTGCTAATTACATTTCTATGTGAATGGGCGGAGCTGATACGCAATAATGAATGTATATATATATATATATCTTTGTGACGCGTGTTTTAATTGACGTGGCTGTGTCATTACGTTCTGTGAACTATTAAAAATAAATTGATGAATGAACAAACATAGCAAGGACCGGTGGGGAGATAGTATGATAAGGGATGATAATAAAAAATGCCACAGAGCCTTAAAGTATTTGTCAATGAACACTGCAAACTTTTATTTTAATGATCAGTGGAATTTTTATTATGTTTGACCTGACCATAAATGAAGTTTCGGTGCTTTGTCATACAACGATTTGTCATTAAATGTTGTACCAGTGAATTCGACGGAGAAAGTGTAATTACCAACCAGGCTGTACTTTTAAACCTGTAAAATCTTACATTGAAATACATAGAAAGTTACTATGGTGCCTCTTTTGGAATGAATGACTGATGTGTGCCAAGTAAATGGAATATGATCGGATGTGGATATTTATCAAATTTTTATCTACCGTCGATGTTGAGGTAAGACACATAACCCTTTTCTCACTTATTTTTGAAAGTGTACTTCATATTATTTACAAATGCTGTTAAGAAATGGTGATGTGCTTGTTCGGACTTGTCTTCAGATGGAAAAAATAAGTTCCTGCGCTTCACTGATAAAGGTAATACGTAAGTCAGGGAAATGTCACACTCAAATCTTTTACAGGTTGTGTTATAATACCGTACACTCTATTGTCATTACCGACCAGAAGAAAACTATACGAAATTGACTTGGGGTGATTTTATTCATGCATCAATTCATTATCATTTTCATTATTATTTTTTAGTTCTCATTGTATTTTTTCATCTTTATATTTGTGGATTTGAAGTGCAGAGCCTGAAATGTTTTACGATGGTGTTCGTATAGAATTCTTTAACTCAGATGAATCTTTCATGTATATAAGAACAACAGATCAATATAAAATGCTCATTTTTCCTTACATACTAAATATTCTACGTAAAAGGAGGAAAGAATCATTATTTGTATTAAGAATCAAAAGCAACACTCAATATTGAAATGACTTTTGATGAGTTTATATTCGAGGTACGTAGTATCGATTTGAATTATTCACGATGACGGAAACAAAACTAAAAGTTCTTCAATGTCTGTTTTATTTGATAAAATGATAACATCAACATATCATTATGAATACATAATTAATGTTTAAAAAGAATACAGTTAACCATCACCTTTTATTTCAAATGTCAAAACTGCAATCAAATAAACATTTCATCTAATGACATAACATTTTTAGTGATATATAACTTCTATTGTCATTGGAGATGAAATTTTAGCAAAATATGAAATGAAGAATATTTCAATTTGAGCTTCCTCTTCTTCCATTTGAGCTTACTCGTCATGACACATTTTATATCTTTCTTTGAAAAATATTTGTACACAACATTCCTCCTCCGACCAAGCCGAGTCAAAATCATAGGAATATTAGTGTTAAGTAAAAAGATAAGGAATCAAAGCAGAACTCATTCAATCAGCAAGATGATATTGTGTCTGATGGCGAATATCACCTATCACTTGTTCAATAAGCATATCTTCCTCCCGTCTATCATACTACCATTGTTTCAATCATCATCATTCTATCAAATCACACCCACTGTAAATAATATATCAATACAATTACTTATTTGATATGTCGTATACTGTGCATACAATGTAACCTTTACACCATCTTATAAGCTTTGGCGTACAGTAAAAATGGACATCCTGTATATTGAGGACACTCGGAGGTTCAGGGACAAAATAGTCAGATTGTTTCCTTATGTTTGTATGGATCAGTTAAGTCATGAAATAAAAATATTGATATCTACGCTTTTTTTAGAGATTGAATAATGAATTGATTTATTTCTCACGAGTGCACCAAAATCAACCAAGTTAAAGTTTGTTATCGAAGAGTTTGACTGCAATATAAAATTTCGTAAAAGATATCAGAATGCTTCTCTGAAGTCCAAACTATACTAGATTCAGTTGTACTGAAATGACACAGAAAATTCGTAATGGTACAATAATAAAGCTGTATCACAGTCTGTTTATCACAATGTCACCCACCCACACATGTAACACAACTAACTAGAAAACTAAAATTTAGAGGTACGATCATGGATCCAGGATTTTTTCACATAACAAATGATTATCTTTGAATGACAAGTCTTCATTGTAATTTCTTAGTGACATTCCATCAGTTAAAACATGTAGATACTATTTTCTGCATGTTCCTTTCGGAATTTGTTGATGTAGCACTATCGATATGCTTGCATTTTTTGTGATGATTTTAAAATATATTCTTATATTACACAACTGCACCAAATTATAACCTGTTTTAGATTCAAGAAGTCAACGTCTTTACCATGTCCTTAAATAATAAATGATTCGAAATATAGGTAATGGTTGAGGTATTGCACATTTCCAACAGCCATTTGTCGTATCTGTCAGATTTCTAGGCTAATATCAAACACTACAGCATTTGTCGATAAAACAGTGTCTATACAATAATCTGTGACAGGAAAAACTCCCCATCGATCACATCTGCCATTTGTGCTCATTAAAATGTTAATAAATATAATATTGAATTATATACATGTACTGAACGTTTACAGTTCATGGTCATCAATTGAGATTAGGAATTCCCCTGATTTTGAAAGCAATGATAGTGACAGTGAGGAATGAGAGAATGAAACCTCCGATAGCGCCAAAGTTCCGGTAAAAGTTGTCGACTGCATCTGGGTAAAATGCCTCCAGGTATTCGTCCCCCGTGCGAAACTGACATGGCGCAGCTGTAAAGGAGCGGGAAACATCCTGTTAGAATAATGATTTATCACTGGAGAAAAATGATAAATAGCTATCTATTCACATATTGATGTAAATATAGATTCTTATATGTTTAGAACTTCATGTGTAATTAAAATATCAATAAAGAAATTCATCGGAGCAAGAGTTTAAAACCCCACATTCGTTTGGGGCTATATGTTCATGTGTGACTTAATTATACATACACCCTGGGCCTGTTGCACATGTAAAGTTTGAGCCATGGAACTCGTTTGCTACTAAAATTTCCGTGCTGTACTTGTGTATTGTGAACCAGGCGGCCCAGTGGAATATCTCTATCATACTCTCAAGGCTCCTGTCAATAAAATGAAGATATGTTATCGTAAACAAATTGAACAAAAATCACCAATTGAATGATACTTCAATATGGCGATACCACGACAGTGTACAAGTTTCGTTAAAACATAAAATTCCTTCAGTGACCACCTTATTTATAGTGTAGCATAGATTCAGTCCCGTTTTAGAAAAGGATGTCTAATTGCCATTGTGTCTACAAGCAATTATTTAGATGTTTCAGCTTTTGACAGACACACGAACCACGCAGTAGAATCATCAGTTGGAAATTGATGCGGCAAATCCGTTCAATTTGTATGATATTCAAATATATTCACAAATTCTACAAATGCATATACATTAAGTGAAAAAAGTTGCCCATTCAATCAGTGTCGAGTAAAAACACAACTTATGACATCAATATTTTTTGCGTAATCATTGACGCCTTCAGCACAACAGTTTATGGACTAATCCATTTCTGTCACTTAACTAAGATGAATGATACATGATAATTTGAATAGCTAAAGAATGTTTTGCAGTTTTCCCCACAATTTAGTCGAGCTAAGTGCAGAAACAAATATATTTCTTAAAGTAAGGTCACGACATAGATATGTCATTCTGCAATAGCATTTGATCTAAATCAAGTTGAGGGTTAACGAATTCATCTCACGTTTCGAAGAGCACTTTAAGTAAAATGAAATGCATATGTTTTCAAGCTGAATATGTTACTTATTAAAATAAAAATTCATTTATCTAGCTTCTATTTTGTTTTTTTACTAGTAACAAGGGATGATAAAATGTTATAGGCAAATTATGTGTTAATATGCTTATCAAATGCTTCTACTGCTATAAAATCATTTATATTTTAACTTATATATTGGAACTTGACTTGGTACACAAATTGGGTAATCTACAAAGAGTGTGGAAACATTTGGGTGTTATTGTCAAAATCCGCCTGGTTTCTTTTTACAAATTACAGATGTGTCACATGAAATGACTGGCATGGTAATCAATTAGGGAGAGTTATCTGCTGAACTTCAGAATCAATACCAGTAATAGTGGTGATAACGGGGACAAGAACTTGAGTGATTCAGATATCATTTGAAAAGACTGATTTCCTAATATGAGGCTATAAGTGGCTTTAGCATAACATGAGAAGATCAGATGAGAACGGTAGAGACGTAGTGAGAAAGGGGGAGAGGTGCAGATACAATCTTAGAGGACCCAGTATGGACGCTGCAAGGCTAAAAGGAAGGAAAAAAATACCTGAGAAGACCTGATGAGAAGAGCAGGGACGCGGTGAGAATAAGCGTGATTGTACTGTTGGCTATTTGCCCATTCTGGAACACGCCCATACATCCGACAGTCATTATCTCCCCTACCAGGTGAAGCACGAAAACCACAGCGTAGTATATCCCAAACCTCTGCCATTCCGGATAAAGCCCCGTCACCCTTGAAACAGATACAATTACTGTTCAATACTTTTCATCTCACGTGATAAAAAAGCAACATGTTATTGAATATTGTGATCAAAGTTTTATAAAGACACAAATTATAAATTGATGTTATATATGTATGATAAGCAGTGGAGCAAAAGTAGCTACTATAATGACAAATGGTCTTGCAAGGCAAAAACCTTAATCTATCAAAATTATTTTATGTAAGACACAAACGTCAATAACACCAAACACTGCGTTTAACAGTCCCATACAACTACTTTGTCTTTGTCAATGAAGCTTAGGACCTAAATCATGAAGAGTATGTGGCGAAAGAGGAACACCAAATAGGGAATCGACTAAAAAACGTCAACTGCGTTCGATCCTGACTACTTATATACGTGTTAGTATATTTTTTGAAATTTGACCAGTAGACTATGAACACAAACATCAATACCATCATTTGATTTTTCATTACATATACTTATATATATCTCCCTGTGATTGGTCATATTTTCAGTTAAAAGTCATTGGATACCAGAATATTTGTAAGGGTCCTGACACCATTGTATAAAGGAAACTTATACCCCTATACTTACCAATAGACGATGATACTGAAGACAAAGCTGGAGAAAAGTGTAAAGGGTACGATATGTAGGACGTAGGCAACCATGAAAGCCACTGTTCCATAAAGTCCATCTCTTGTCTCTCGGTAATACATATCACGCATAGGTGGAACTAAAATAAAGACAGATGACGCGATCAAAGTAACTGTTTTGAGTCAAAAAAGTAGATTTTTGAAAAATATTAATCGCGATACATTCATAAAACTTCTGTTACTCTATTCATACAACTCACAACTGACAATATTGTTGTTTTCGCATTACTACGCGAGGAGAGCCTATCGCGAATTCAAATCTCTTGATTATTTGTACGAACCTATTGATGACGTCCATGTTATTCTGTTTACATTTCTGTCGAATTCATATATGTATGTATATATTATCATATCGTCATAAAGAAATTTGCTAGGCTAGGCTTTATAATTCTGTTCTTTACAATGACATCCTCGTATTGCTGACCGTAAAACAAAATGGCGTCATTCAAATGTACAGCTAAAGGTCAGAGTTAGGATTTCAAACAAAGAAGCATGAAGGGCGTTAACGTTCGTTTCTTTTGTCTACCAGGCCATACTCAGATAAATACACTTCAGTTTTGATGCAACATTTAAAGTCATTTCTAAACCAGTTTTCGCGAAATCATGTTTGCAGATGCGAGTTTGCGAAATCAAAGCGATTTACAGTATTGTCTACAATTTAAAAATAATTTTGAAATTTGTAAATGATATGAATATGTAATTGAAATCACACTACGGAATTACCCAGGAAGAGAGACTGGCATTTTTCAAAATAACGCAATATAAGAGTACGACTCTTTATCTTGCTTACAAATATGGCAGTGGTAAGTTGAGGTATCAAATCACCTTATTTATACACGCTCAGATATTAAGAAATCTCCGTGCTTACAGACCTGTTAGAGTTTCAATTATATCACTGACTCATATGCTATAGAACTACAATTCATCTGTCCAATAAACCACTTACACAAGCCCACCCCATGAAAAACACTTACACAAGCCCACCCCATGAAGAATGGCGACGTAGGGCGGTACACTGAGAGACTGGTACATCAAACCGACTCTGTCCTGTATACTCTCCTGGTTGGTCTTCATATGTCCCAGGAAAGCACAGATAAAGGGGACGAAAAGTGATAGGAGAAATACACGGCTAATATAGATCGTCCGATCTCGACCGAGATTCACCATCATCCGCCTGTACATAAGAACATCAAAACCATATATATCGTGATCTGGTTACCGGAGAAAAAAACGCATAACCTATTATTATCATCCATTGTTTGTATACACTGAACCTATATGTAGTGATCAATTAGTTACCTTTCAGTGCAGAATTCCGAATATCTACCATCATATCATGCACAATGGATACATAATTGATACTTGAACTTACTGACCAATGAAGAATGATATAATCCAATGATAGTTCCACTATTAAATAACATATAGTCCTAATATTGATAAAATTTAACGTCATAAATACAGTGTGATATTACTTATAATTTCAAAATGTTTGTGTGTGTTTTCACAACGATGAGCAAGTCAGCCTTCATTCACATATACTAATAACCGGTTGCCATACATGTATTTATCATCATAGCTGCTGAAAATATTTATTAATTATTTATTTACTAAATTTACTAATCTATTCATAAAGTCTTTTTTTAAATATTAGTATAACTCTTCATTATATTTTTCAATTTTTAAAATCAATATCGTTTTATAAACGTTTTCGATATCAAACGGCCACGTAGTGCTTAAAAGATATAATGTCCCTATTCTACGTGGTGGTGTGATTGATGAGATAAGCCTAAAGTAATCATCTCAATATCACATCTGATGACAGGTATGAGACATCGCATATCACCAATGCCTAATCTCTTATTTATGCAAAAGATGTGGTCAGGAATTCCCCTTAAACTCCATAACCTTTTTATTCTTACGTGTGAATTCTTATTCTTAATCTTCATTTATTTCTAAGTTCTAAACTATATCATACCACTATAAAAACCTATGAATGGTTATACTCTCTAGAAGAAGACAAACATACAAACTAGGACTTATCTGAATGGATGTTTATCGATTGCTGTTAACATGGAGATTAAGTCGGCAGTCAGGTTATGACCAATTAACAATCAAAACTACATCAGAACGTCATTTAGCTTATTATTTTTTGTGAAATATTTCCGGACCTATGGCTATATTTGTGACCAACTCTGTTTATCGTAGACATTATAACATTGATTATGTATCCTTTGTAACAGGTAACTGTTATTTTTGTTTGTCGCGATAGGCAAAATGACAATGATGATGTTACTAATTTGGTCTCGTAGAACTAACAAGCCTTTACTAGATATCAGACTATACACGAAATCTTTGGTTTAGTTGTAAACCTGAAATAACATTTTCATGTAGACTGTAAAACGCACAGCTTCGTGATGTGTAAATATTTTTTATCTGTGTATAATTATTCAAATATACAACCGATGTATGTACATTGTGTTTGTCCATTCTACAGCGAACTGCTGGTACACGCATCTACTTGTAGTTTATGTCTATGCTATTGATAATAAGATATATAAACCTGTAAAAACTCAGAGCTTTATGATACGTTAATATTTTTTATTTGTGTGTGACTATTCAAATATACAGCTGATGTATGTAAATTGGTTTGCCCATTCTACAACGAACTGCTGGCACACGCATCTACGTGTAGTTTATGTCTAGCTATTGATAAGAAGATACCTATAAAGCAATGTATAGCATAACCAGTTGAAACAAGACCTACCTTCAAGACTTACTTATTTTAAACTTAATAAAAACAATCATTAAAGAAGGATAAAACAGAAGTTGTTTAAGTCAATGCGGCCGTTTTCTTTTTTAAAGAAAAGTCAATTTTATGTTATATGCAGATAACATAAAACAAATTTAGTTGGATTTGAAGTAAAAATAAAAACAGACTTTAATAGCAATCATACATACCATTTCAGTATATAAAAATTCTATATCATCTACAGACTTCACATTTCACCACAGGATATACTTACCGTACAAGAGCGTTTATGATACGGAATATATTAGGTGGGCGGGGCTTGTAGAAGAGCACAAGCGTGCGGCGTGTCGATGGCTTCATGGTTTCTTCCATCACCATGTTAAGTGTTTCATTGTGGATCTCAGACATGGAAAAAGTCTGAACCAGAGCTTTCACGCGCGTCGCTGAGTCAAACTCGCTCTCGTGATTCCTCCGGTCAACACTTGCCAGATCAACTGTCAACATAAAGGCATGGTTTTAATTAAGCTTTTAATACGGAAGAATGGTATTAACGTAGTCAACAACTACTAATGCAATTGAACATTTATGATACAATCAACTGTTTAATGAGAAACTCATTTCAATAGAAGCAAGTGCTAATGGAGAATAATAGTTTGATGGAATCAAAAACGTGATCACTGCGTTCATTCTAAAACAACACAATGTGTATTTCATGGTTTTAAAGTGAAGTACCATAAGGAAGTATATTACCATAGGATAAGAAACGATGTAGTATGCTGCAAATATAGGTATATTCTAACGATTTACTTTCTATAATATTTCTATCGTTATACTAGCGCAACAATTGTATCATTCTACAGAAATAAATTAGTTCTACACCACCATAACATGAATCAGCTTACTGTAGTGGTCAAGAGGGTTGGCATACGTCGGACAAGGATGACCTATTTGAGCAAAGTAGTCGACTAGCTCATTTGACTTGCCGAGAAAGACCTGCTCCCCCATGCTCATGATGCAAACCTTGTCGAACAGCTTGAAGAGTTCAGAGCGAGGCTGGTGGATGGTGAGAATGACAAGCTTTCCACTATTATGGGCAATGTCGGCTAGGTTGGACACCAGATATCTAGCTGTATAACTGTCAAGGCCAGTTGTAGGTTCATCCAGCATTAGTATCTCTAAAGTTCAAAACAATTTTGAAGCAATAAGAATAAATAATAAATTAGTAATTGTACGGTATCATATTGTGTATCTGTATTTTTAGCCGAGATGTGATACACCAGCCAATCAACATTATGAAATACCGCTAAAAAGTTGTTTTTTTTTATTTTTTAATTTTTTATTATTCTTATAATGACACTTAAGAACTAAACATAAATCCTGAAGTCCATATTGTTGAATAGGTAGTATATCAATTATCGATACCAGTGTGAGTTATAACAACAATGAAAATACCAATATGTCAAAAGAATCATAATCCTAATTCAAATTCAATAAAAGAAGGGCTAATATGAACAAAAAGAAAAAGATTAACACTGAGACTCCCGCAAAAGTCCAAGGAAAAGAAAACCAAATGTTCCAGAAGAGTAAGCGTCATTTGCTTCATCGACGACCTCGGCAATGAAAATCTTGCGAATCGATGGGTCTTTTCCCTACACTAAAACTGCAAGTACTGATAAGTGACCAAACTCTCCTCTATAATTAGAAATTGCATAAATAGACATAACAATGCATTGCTGGCAAAATAGTTAATACGTTTTAACTTTTTTCAATTAAGTTATCATGATCGATTTTGCTCAGAATATCTATATGTAATTACTTGGATCTTGAAGCAGTTGTATTGCTATGGTAACTCGTCGTCGTTCTCCGCCAGATATTCCACGATTTACTGTACCACCAATCTTTGATTCCGCCACGTTTTTCAATCCCATTTCTTGTATGACTTTATTCACCTAATAACAGAAAGGTACATATGTTACACGCGCTAAAAGTATGGATTTTAAGTATTCTAATAATAACAAACTACTACAACAATTGCCCCTGTTTATTATCCCATACTAAAGATAAAATCATATCGTTATTTGACTAGACTACAAATAACCGATTAGATCAGTTAAAGACCTGAATTAATAGTACATTGTCAAAAAAGTCAGTATGTAATTTGTGATAATACGAAACGCATAACATTGAACAAACCCATATGCGGCAGCAATCGTCCTAAATATATATAGATATCAACGCTCATTGGAATGAATTGCGGTAGAACTAATTTTCCTTGTTACTATATTCTGCATCTAATTAATTTTCATAAGCAAAACAAGAAACAATCTCAAGTTTGCATTTTTAAATTTGAAATTAAACCAACTCGAGAAAGAAAAAAACATGAAATTTGATATTAATTAATTTAGAGCCTCAATCGAGATACACTCGTATTAAACTCCTAAACTTGAACAACATGACTTTTCCTCCGCTGTAAATGTCATCTTCTGGCATATTGATAAAACAACAAAATGGTCTCAATATTGCTTCCGATATTTCAATAAATCATTCATAAAACATTCCTACCTTATTTTCTATCTCTTGAGAAGTAGTCCGTCCCGGAAGTCGGAGGAAAGCAGAGAACTGCAGCGTCTCCCTGACTGTCAGGTTGGCGAGCAGACGATCGGCCTGCATGACGTACGCTCCGTATTGCTTGATTACTTCCTTGCTACATTCGTAGTTATTGTAGTAAACCTTTCCGCTTACCTTCCCACTCGTCCGGCATGCTATCACGTCTAACAGCGAGGTCTTTCCCGAACCTACAATAATAAGATACGTTATGTATATCTATATATATATGTCTTTTGACAACATATCCAAATATTCGCGATAAGGTGGTGTACATTCTAATATCTTATGGTTGTTTGGAATTGCTCTAGTGGTTTTTTTCTTTTTCTTTTTCTCCTCTTAATCATGAATTCGTGTAATTGTAGCGGTAAATCTAAAAGATCTTTATGTAAATCAAATAAGTGATATTTCAAAGAAAAGCAGCCCATTTTATCACTAAGTCAAAACAATATCATGAAATCCGAAGACGGAAATAAGTTTTTGAAAATGTAATTACGGCACCTGAACTGCCAAGGATGGCGACTATTTCTCCCCCTCGGAATTGGGCAGTAAAATCTCTCAACACAGTTTTAGATTTAGACCTTCTGAAGCAGGCACCCTTCCACCAGGGTCCGACCTTTTCCGAAACCTCGTATTTGACGTTGAGGAGGTTAAGTGTGGGGCGTGCTGCACGAAGTTCTTCCTCCTCGTCAGGTGACATGGTAGCACAGCTACTGAGGACATAGTGGAGGTCAAAGATACTGGGGTCATCCATGACGATTTACAAGTATCTGAAAGCAGAGAGAGAGAGAGACTGCCATTAAAACTGTGCTTGTACAAAGTCGTGTGTAACAGCAATATTTCTCCGTCTCGTAGTTGCTTTTATATATCATTAGGTTATCTTCGACTGTCGTCCTCAAAGACATTTAAGAGCATAACAAACAAGAATATTCCACTTCTTTAATATACCTTTCTTTTGCAGTTTCGCGACCATTTGTGGTATTTAAGACATTCCACAAGTAGATTTGTCGATAGGAAAACATTATATGATTCAACAATTCTTTTTGTGTCATTTTGTGGTCAAGTCAAATTTTCTGTTAGTGAAGATTTCTCGTCTATTTCAGTGCTACAAAGTACTTAGTGTACTTAAAAAGCGGACACGAGGAGTGAAATACATCGGCGTTAATCAAAAGGGCATATGAAATGAAGGAAAGTATTTTAAGGATAGCTATATTCGTTGTCTTTGTGTGATATAAAACTTGACGTGTTTGATGCTCGTTTGTATGCCTCATTGTTCCATTGTTTCTTACCTAAATATCATTAGGAAAACCTAATAAAATTTACTTCGATTGACCAAGATTTATATGACTGAAGTCGTCAATGAAACAGAAGGCAATTACCCTTCCGGAACACCTGATCTTATTTTCTTTTCGTGTGGTGTATGTGTGTTTTTCTTTTTTTTACATTTTTATGACTTCGTGTAAATATCTATTTTGTTCTTTTTTTCCAATAGTGTCCTTGCATTTATATTTGAATAAGGTTCTGTTAACTTTTCAGTATTTTCATTGTTGTTTTTTCTTAGTGCGTGATTCGTGCTTTATCTAACTCACGTTGGCCGGTCTAATAACATTTTATTTTATTTATTTCGTTGAGCTATTCTTTTATTTCGTGAAGATTCGTCCAAACGTCATTGTCATAAGCGTTGCGCCATGTTCTTTCCATTTCGTGTGGTGTTATAAAATTAGTAACCACTGCTCAGACATCATGGCGAGACTGTGACAAATATGAGAGAATGCTGTGAATTAATAATGGTATATGCATGAAAAATAATTACTAAAAACTCAATTTGCGAAACAGATGAGAGATTTGTGATGATACCGGTTGTGAACTTCTATAATTCAACCTATTCCACTGAAGCATATACGAGTCATTGAGAAAATAATGGAAACTCAAGAATTCCGATATAGGTAATCATAAGTACGGGTATAAATAACAGATGTGAATTGGTACATCAAACGAATAATGGTTCCTAGGGAGTCTACCAACTCGATACTAGAGAATGAATTGGATTTAGTTTTCTCACGTCACTCACGTCATTCCTGTTATAAAATAGGAAACCATCGCTTACCAGTATTACTAGCTAACAGATACATGTATAGCGATAAGTGTATTGGTTATAAACATTTCGGAAGTGCAAAGTATTATATCAAAGTGTAGAATAGGATGTACATGTTATACATTTTAAATAACATCAAATAACAGGCTATATAATGCAGTACTTCAATACGTGTCCTTTTAAGTGGTGTGATGTCAATGATAAAACAGTGACAACGACCAACGACCTTGCTTATTTAGAGCTAGTCATGTCCGTCTATTGCACCTCCTGGAGTGGAAAATTCGATAATATTGACAGATCTGCTGCTTCAGGTCGACCTTTGTCAAGTACAAGCTTGTTAAATTAGATAAAAACAATATTGAAATGCGTTTGATGGCTCTATGCCAGTTCACAGGAATTATCAGAGACATTTTTTGTTACAGAAGATATTTTGTATCGATTCAAGACTGTTTTTCACTCATTTTTAGATTTCTGAGTATTGCGAGACGTAATAGACCTTACATAAGTACTGAATTTTTAGATATGGTAGTACCTCCGCTGTTAGATGTACATAACTAATCAAAACTACCACAAGGCACAGATTTTAAAGTATAAAATTACAATGTAATCCACAGGTTGTTTGGGTTTCATCAGATTTTCGTAAAATGTAAGGTCCTGTGGAGAGAGTATTCGGTAAGAGGTAGATACACCAAAATCTAACATGATATGTAGGGCAATAACAGACTTTTGTGCTTCACAATGCTGATTATTAAGAACAAGATCATACATTATGATATGTATATGCTGCTCCGTGAAGAAACAAGATGACACATACACAACCATGAAAAAACTACATCAGGAACGAAACAGCCTGAACATCTCACAGACAATCGGAATGACTCATTCACACGCAGGAAAACACACGCGGAAGCACACAGCTTGCATCCACGGGCACCGGAAAGCTGTGGATAAGTTTTAAAATGATAATAATTCTGGTTAAAATAGTTCTAACCACCACGGGGTGGTTATGTTTTACAAAAGGGACATGATATATTTGTAGGTTTTAACTTGATGTCAGGAAAATAGGAAAAGATCAGACGGTAATAAAGTATTGTCAACACGTCTTCTATGATGACATCCCTATCATGACTGTTTTGGAATATTTGACAGACTATAAAGATGCAGAGATAAGATCGCTATATATTTATATGCATACTAACTCTTGTAACACTTAACTGTTGATAGGGGAAATGTGTACAGAATAACATAAAACGATAGTCTGCTAAACCGTTCACCACGGGGATTAATCTTAACCACTACGTGTTCAGCACGAAATCAATGAGCTTAAGTTATGAAATGTTATGAAAGTGAAACATTATACGAGGAACTACAGGTAATGCCTGGTTAGGAGCCAACGTGATCGTAGTATCAAATACCCAGAAGATTATCTCTTTAAAAAAACACACACTTTACCATCGTTACTGTCTCAAATTTCGTGGTATTTAATAAACAAAAAACAAGTAAATATAGATATAAATGATAATCAGTGGTTAGATTCACAACCTTCAATGATGGTGTGTCTTCCATCGATCCCTGAAAAGATCAGATAGATGCTACAAATTAAACACACGAATATCGATTACGAGAAAGTCTCCGCAAAAGGAACAGTTTCTCAATGAACACTGTTGTTGTCATGACAACGAAATGATGCTATAATGTTTGCTTCTAATTTTGTATCCTACGTAAAAGAAAAAAAAATAGTTACATCACACTTCAAAATAGGTGGGAGAAATGCTAACCAGATCTGGGAGAAAACATAAAGCTAAGATTGCTGTGTGACCTCGCACTCACGTTTACTTAAAGAAAGTTAGTGGCTTATCATTGATAGCAACCATCAGTGTTCGTGTTACCACCACGTAAAGTGGTCGATTTATCTTGTATTTGCATGATAACATACGGTTTGTATAATTTCCTTACGAAATTAACAATGAATACATGCATTAATATTGAGTTTCAAACTTCGTTTATCGTTTATGTCTTAATTGATCATATTAAATTCATTTCAGCTTGTTTTACATTTACTATTTATTCTCTGTACTTGCCTATATTGAATAAAGTCTGAAATTCCAGATGTATGTGCCAGAACTATGGTTACCGGTTAACATATCCATGTTAACTGCCTACGTCACAGCTCATTCAGTACTTCCGTCATTAAGCGATAGTGACGCCCCTCCCCCCTCCAACTCCAGGAAGCATTGCTGACGTCACCTTCCTGTCCGATGTTTACATGTCGTCTGCCATCATGGACAGATTTGGACATTGATTCCATTCTTAATTACAGAGACGGTGCAGAGAAAATGTAAGCACATTAAATAGAAGTGAAACAAAACACATTAGCACGGGATTTGTTTCAGTTATCAACGGTAGCAGGTATATCAAAACATTTGTAGACAGCATTTTCGGTCAACCCATGATATGCTGAACCCCCGGTCCAAACTGCTTCAGCCTCAGGCAACAATTTAGTCCTCTGGTATATATTCAATTTCAATATCTATTTCATGACAACGATGCTGGCATATGTCCGATGGTATTTCTTCTCTTTTCTTTTTTATATAGAGTGCAATTGGTTATATTTTTCTCTCCTAAATGTTTTAGATAATCCAATAATTTCCAATTGCAGCTTTTTTTTAATTTTAAAAGAATATTATCTTTGGAAAAAGAGCGGTCAACATTTCCCATATTGTAAATTGGACTAGAAAATCTAACTGATGTAATAGATAATATTACACTTATTTATTGATATAACCGACTAAGTTGGATTCATACAACAAATTAACAACACACTCACATACTGATATAATAGACAATACAGAACCTTACAAAACAACCATCCATTAATATAGTGTTATACCTCATCTTTGTAATAAGGTCACTGACTACCTGGAAAGCAATATCTGATAGGGAAACAAGATATCATATTTCCACAAGGAAAATAAAACATTGTATTTCCTTGTCTCAACGCTGGAAATCAATGATGCACAAATACCAAAACAATGACAAATGTTTCAGTGATCAGAACCTGTTGCAGAGAAATTTGTATGAAGATATGTTTTTTTCTTACCTTTAAATGTCATATTTCACTATCACGAACTTTCATTTTCCCCCTGCCACCAATGTCATAAATGCGCCTATATATTTTACTAGCATAGTGTATCAAAATCGTATATTAGTATTCCTCGCTAAAAGCAGAAACATAACTCACAAAATGCAATCAAATGTTATGGCAAAAACCAACAAAAAGTGCGGTGCAATAATACCATTGGTTTACAATATTAGAAACAATTGACGCCAAATTTTCGCGTATTATGAGAAGAAATACACATAAAAAGCCAGTGTGTCTGTTCGTTGACATTTGAAATATCGGAGGGGATTTTGAAAATAAATGGATAAGTTGGGGATATTATACTCTTTGGTTTTAGATTTAGAAACCCACCAGGCAAGATGTGTGCGACTTAATGTTCTGAGTTAAGCTGGTACCGCTCACCTGCCACACCAACATTATAGAAGTGATAATGATACAATGTACGTAAATATGTAGGTTGCGTCCGATAGTCACAGCATGACTAAATAAGGCGCAGCGCGTTTCCTGAACAGAACACATGCTGTTTGTGTTGTGGTTA